ATGTTGTGTTCTTGTATTTTCACATCTTAAAACACTGAATTTTGGAAATATGGAATATGGAGAGGAAATATTTGGAGTAGAGGTAGATATTTAAAGCATATAAGAAGGTTTACTTTATTTGTTTGTTTGTTTGTTTTGAAGGGATGGAAGAGGTTAAGAGGATAGGACCAAGTCTGGAACTCGAGAACAGTGACTTCTAGCCGGGGATTTAGCTCAGTGGTTCCACTGCCTGCCTCACAAGCGCAAGGACCTGAGTTCGATCCCCGGTACCAAAAAAAAAAAAAAAGGAATAGTGACTTCTGGAGAGGGTAGGGAGAGGTAGAGAGAGGAGAAAGGGATCAAAGGAGACTGAGAGGGAATGATACAGGATGGGAGAATATAGCCTGTAAGGTAAATATGGAAAATTTTAAGAACATAAAAATAGATTGAAGAGCTCCCTCTAAATATGACGGCTATAAGTTGCTAAGAAATTTTTGGTGGGTTTTGGTTAAAGGAGGCTATTTGCCATGAGTTGAAGGATACAGTGAGGGAAGGTAGAGATTATTAACGTCTTTCAAGATGCATGATAGTGAGGAGCAAAAAAGAAATAAGCCGTGGGGAGTATCAGGGTAATGGATGAAAGTGGATTTTTCTATTGAATGAGCTGAAGACAAAGACCATGTGGTACCTCTACAAGTCAGGACGTACAGACAAGTGTGTAGCCCTCCCACTCCGCGGGGCGGGAGGCTGCGGGAAGACAGCCTTCACTTTGTATTGTTGTGGTCTGATTTCATTCCGTGGGGAGGGGTGGTGGTTAGGAAGAATGATCCCTCAAAAAAACACACCTCTATCAAAGCAATGCGGTCTATTACATCTTAAAAACTGGAGCTGAAGTAAAGCTCAAGCAGAGTATTAGCCTCTGATTACTTCAGAACACAGTGTTTTCCTAAAATTTGCCTGTAACTTGTCCACGGGGCCCAGTCATTCTCCCTCAGCCAGTGGGCAAGGAGTTTCCTCAGCATACAGCCACGAAATCATTTCCCCCCGAAATTAGTACTGTATAACGGAGCAAATTGTTCAGCACTCCTAGGAAAACTGACGGTCCCTGAGGAGCAAAGCGAAGAGCCTTGGCAGAGTGAAGCCACTGTTAAAAGTATTGTATTGTCAGCAATAAGGAGGGTCTTTAGAGGAAAAACCTAGGAAACCCTGAGAGGCTTCCCACCGATAGGTGGCGTCAGCCGCTGACGTGCTCACCACTGAAACCCGGGCGCAGGGAAAGGCGGCTCAGGGGGAAGCGGAGGAAAGCCACCATTCTCCTTTACCTGTGACGATGAGCCCTCCCAGGAAACACACTAACTCAAAATGTAATCACTCTTCCACTCCGGAGTGCCAGGGTCAGGGCAGTTGTAAGCTCCCCTCCCCTGCCCCATGTCCCGGGGATCTGGTGGATCGTGAGTTTCTTAGTCCAAGGCTACAGTGAGTAAAAATCTAGGAGCCATTACCCGGAGCCTCCTTCCAAGTCAGACTCAAGGCAAACAACCCTTGACAGAACAAATATTGGCATAGTGATAGGAGTACAAGGTGG